AGGCATAGATGAATGCACGAACAAACACAGGGGCAGGAAGGATGCACAGAAGGTCAGACGGATGCACTACGGACAGTCGCACGTATGGACGAAAGCACGGACGGACTGACGGGCACTTCGCCCCATTCATCATCATTCAGTCCGTGGATATGCTGTGATTTTTCCTCAGTGAGAGAACATCTGCACCTTAGAAGCAGGGAAATGATTTAAACTCCAACCAAAAGTAGGCGAAGGAACCATGTATTTCGGAACCGACTTGGTTCCTTCCTCAGGGGGGGGGGACTGGGACTACGTAGCAGCGGCGTCTTCAAAGCACTCTCGGGGCGGTTAATGACCTCTCTTTCTCCTGTTTTGCCGTAGAGCGCAGTCCGTGTGTATACACCGGGGGAAGGGTATACACGCGGACTGCGATTTTGATACATTGCGGAGTGGCTTGCCCAGAGAAGCAGTGGTAACTGTTTTTTGTGCTTTAAACCCAATCACATCGAAGTAAAAATAAGAGCACATGGCAATATAGTTTCACAAACTATTGCAAAACAATGCCGCTATTTATGCTTCTGCTGCATGTAGCTCTGACGTGGTAATTAGTAATACAGTCGATCCTGGATATATCTAACTCAAAGGGGATCACGAAATAGTTAATATATTGATAATTGGAAACACAACTAATGTATATATAATGCCTAAATAAAGTATTTCTGGGGAGCCCCGCCGCGGTGGTCAAGTGGCTAAGGTACTCGGCTGCTGACCCGCAGGTCGCGGTTTCGAATCCCAGCTGCGGCGGCTGCATTTTCGATGGAGGCGGAAATGGTGTAGGCCCGTGTGCTCAGATTTGGGTGCACGTTAAAGAACCCCAGGTGGTCGAAATTTCCACCACGGCGTCTCTCATAATCATATGGTGGTTTTGGGACGTTAAGCCCCACATATCTATCTATCTAAGCATTTCTGGCCTCAGAAATCGTTACAAGTGCTTACATAACACTTCCCTGACAGTGTAATGAAGGACAAGGTGTGAAGTGAAAGTTACCGCGCTTTACTTAGCATGAAAATAGTCCATAATTTTGTCGTAAATAGTCCGCCACTGTCAAGTTCCAGTCATCTTCAATATTATTGAAGATTTTCAAATAAGCAAATTCAGCTCATTCGGCCTCAACATTATTGATTGATGCAGATCGCGGATGCAAGCTTTGTAGCGCAGCAATAAGTTGGTTAGCGGCGGTAGCGATGGCATATTCATAATTACATCGGAGGCACTGGACATGGCAGTCATGACTTCACCATCGATGGAGTCAGAAGCAGCTAGGTCGTCATCTGCACCAATAAGTCAGTGCACTGTCCGAGATGGTGCCAGGAAACACTCATAAGTGGCAGAATTCACCAGAGGCACCGTACGCCAGTGGTCATGATGCTACTGAAGCTGTCACCTGGCCTAGCAAGGAAAGTTTACGACGAGTGCTTTACTTGATGTGACTCCAAGCACCAGTCATGACTTTTATTGCTGCGTGCGGGTCAACGGTCAGTTCAACTCCTGAATAAGGATTTATCAGGAATGAGGCAAGAAGTACGCAGGTCCAGAAGGTGTAAAAGACAACGTCGTGTTCCCACTGTCGATGTCACTTGTGTCTTTGTAGCTGGCAGCCGCTGCTTCTAGCTGCTTTGGTGCGAAAAACTAGCAAAAGCGTAGCCTCTGAGGCGTGCGTTTTAATGCCGAAAATGCTAAAGGCGCGTCGTGAGGTTTCACATCTTGAAGGCCGTGCTTTTCAGGCTCGTGTGCCATTGTGTGCTAACAAACAAGGAAGGGAATGCGAACATTGCAGCGAGATCGCCGAGTTTTTTCGCATTTTCATTTTGGTGTCCCCAGCTATCGATCTTTTTGAAAAACACTATGCTTGCGCGTTAAGACCTACAGATCGCGCATCAAGCATACTGGCGCGTTCGCAAGCGCTGCGCAAGGAACCAGATCAGCGCAATGGAACAATACCGCCTTTCGTCAATTGCGCACGCGAAGAGATGTGAACTTGATAGATCGTGGCCGAAAATTGATCTATATTTGCTAAGAAAAATGCACTTGCTGGACTTCGGCTCGGCGAAGCGTTCGATATAGCGAGTGTCCCACTGTACAGGAGTTTGATATATGGGTGCAGCGGTCCCATACGTTTGCATGGAAAATTCAAGGGGATTTCTCAGCTGTTCGACGTAGCCAATAATTTGATATATCTGAGTTTGATATAAAAACATATGGAAGCCTACTGAAAAAAAGGAATTATAAATAAATAGAAAATTTTTTCTTTTGAAAGAATAATTACGAATAGGTATAGAAGCACAATACAGATGGTGTCCCCAATAGATATGACAATTAAGCATGAAGTGTCAACCTCTTTGCAGTTAAGGTAAGAGAATAAAAAACTCAGAAAATGCAGTGTTTATGAAAAATAGCCTGAAATGGCACGTTGGGACGCTTATAACCCTAATTATTTCCAAGCATTGAGGTACGGGATGCTGATAAGTGGCCAAGGGTCATGGCAATGGCTATCGAAAAGAGAAAAAAAATCTATAAAACAAAAGTCACGTTGGCAAGCGCACAAGTATGTTGTTTGTCTGACTCCTTCTTTCTTTGGTGCTTGATTCTGTTAAGACTACGCGAGTACTGTCATGTTACTCGGACATGAACCATACCTTTCATGAAGGCAGGCTTAAAGCCAGGGCAATGGCATTGCAATCCTGGTACACCGGTGGACAGGACGTCGCGTATACAGATGCTGTGGCATATGAAAGCAAAGCGGCACACACGGCAGTGAAGGTCACGGAAGACAGCAGCCTGATGGTGTGCTGCACAGTCCGTAGTGTCGAGCCTGTAGAGGCCGAGGAAGTGGCTATAGCTTTGGCCATCAGCCAAAAAGGGGTCAGGGTGGTCATCAGCGACTCCAAAAACACCGTGAGAAATTATGAATTGGGAAGGGTGATGGAGACTGTTGTCCGTATAATAAACATGGTAGGAGTGCCCAAAGAGCTGGTTCTGCTCACCTGGGCGCCAGCTCACCAGGGACTTAGAGGAAACGAGGAGGCTCATTTGGTCATCCGAGGTCTCACCTATTGGTCGACCCCTGGAACCTCCCAAGTTACCGAACAAAGAAGTGAGGATATGCGCACATACCATGAAATCGTCGCACACTGCAGGCTGAATCGTCAAATATGCCCGAGAGTGGACAACTCACTGAGTAAGAAAAATGAAGTTTTGTGGCAAAAGTTACAGACCCAGGTTTTTCCTAACCCCGCACTTTACAGTAAGTGGCACCCCGCAGTTTTCCGGTCCCAGTGTAAATTTTGTGATGAGGTAGCGAATTTGGTCCACATGGTGTGGACATGTCGAAGTCGAAACGATGGTTTCCCGCAGCCTAGACCCCAACGTCCGGCGCGACATAATAAGTCAAGCCCTTGCTGCTGCCATTTCCTATGGGATTCCGGCCGACAGCTACAAGCAACGGACCATGCCTGAAGTAATTGACTGACTATTTAATAAAACTTTTTCTCTCTCTTTCTCTCGGCCTTGCCAAAAAGGATGCGCACATCTCATTGCCTGCCTTAATCCGTAGACTCTGACAGAAAGGCAAAAGTATGCCACGGACGCTACTTCTATTGAGGTGGCTTAGGGGCACTAGTACCAGATTAAGAAGTGGAGTTCTGCTGACGTTTGTTGTTTCGCATGGTGGTGCTGCTGTAGCGGTCAGTATCAGATTTGCGATACATTGTTAAATATATCAGGAATGCAGATGCATATACTGGTTTTTTTAGACGTATTACCCAAATACCCAAATAGTATCTAAGATACATGTATTTTCAATTTTGCGCAGCTTTGTTAAGTAAGAAGAGAAACACTACGGTGTGCGCTCCAGAGATACCTATGGCTGGACTTATGCTCAGACTACCACACTGCACTTTAGAAATGCAGTAGGTCGAGGCGCCGTAGCTTGAGCCATGAACACACGCCACCATTCAATGTCCCACTGGCCTCTGTCTCGCTTCGCCAAAGCACGATGTTCATCTGTCGACGTTGTTGCCTTGCTAAAGTGCTTACTGCAGAGTTTTATTAGTCGATGCTATCGCACGTGAAGTAGTTGGCGGCAAACACTGTTGGTGCACGTGGAAGCTCCACAACTCCAAGAACAAGCCGACACATGCTAACTCGAAGTGAAAGGCAAGAACATAGCGGTGTTGGCGACTCTCTGATGCTAGCGTGGCCATAGTTTTTCACTTGTTGAGAAGCCATGGCCTCTGAGATTGTGCATGGCCGCCGAGATTGCACACCGGTGCGCAATCTCGGACTTCATGCGTTAACTATGTCGTCGATGAATCGTTCTCTGTCTGTGCTAGTAATTGTCATGCCACATTACTCCTCTTCACCATTCACACGCTGCCGCTCCTCCCGCCCCTCGCCAACAGAGAGCACCATGTGAGAGAGAATGTGTGAGAGGTATAAGGCGCGTTTGTAACAAAGTGTGTTTTTCTTTTAGTATCTCAGCTATTTAAGCACCGGTCGCTTTTTGTCGCGAGCCATGGAGTGAGAGGTTCGACTTTTGGCGGGGGAACTTTTTCTTAATCTTTTTTTCTTTCTCATTGCAAAGCAATAATTTTATGCTGTATTTGTGACAGAAATGTGCCACTTAAGTATTAGTTTGATATGTGGGGTTGAACGTCCTAAAACCACCATATGATTATGAGAGACGCCGTAGTGGGGGGCTCTGGAAATTTTGACCACCTGGGGTTCTTTAATGTGCACCCAAATCTGAGCACACGGGCCTACAACATTTCCGCCTCCATCGGAAATGCAGCCGCCGCAGCCGGGATTCGAATCCGCGACCTGCGGATCAGCCGCCGAGTACCTTAGCCACTGGACCACCGCGGCGGGGGCTTAAGTATTAGTGGACCTTGGCAAAAAACACTTTTGTGCTAAAAATAAATACATACCCAAACACATTCTAGAGCTTTGGCTTTCCTTGCAGGTACGCCAATCTGCACAACTTGGTGCTTTTCCTGATACAGTTTGTGCCAGCCGGCCTGCTCTCCATTTTCGTCAGTCCCTGGAGTGACCGGTACGGCCACAAGATACCGCTGCTCGTTGCCACTTCTGGCGGCATCTTGCAGGACCTGACCACTCTCTTCTCAGTGATGTACACCAGTGTTCCACTGTATGCCACCGTCCTTTGCGCTATTCCTAACGGCTTCAGTGGTGGTCTTGTATCTGTGTGTGCATCTGTCTACAGCAATGGCACACGGACAGCCACGGCCGAGTTGAAGACTGTGCGTTTTGCTTGCATCATGACTGCGTTGACGCTGGGCTTTCAGCTGGGACTGTTTGTTGGAGGACAGGTGTTTCGAGCAGCTGGAGGAAACTACACGGCCATCTATGTTACGTCGGCCATCCTGCTAGCAGTGATGTTTGTGTGGATTGGCTGGACGGTGCCGTTCAGCAATCAGCTTCACCGCACAAGCAGAAGGGAGCTGGTGCGGGACCTGATACGGCTGGACAACCTACGTGAAGGTGGGCAGGCAGTGTTTCGCCAACGCCCGGGCTACAACCGAGCCAAGCTGCTCCTGCTCATGATCTCCATCTGGTTCATTCTGTTCAACAGTGAAGTGAGTGCCTTCTTTTACAGCTAGATTACAACAAGAGTTGATTCTAGTGCTGTACTTGTTCGCCGTGGCTGTCCATAACGACAATCGCTCTTGTACAAAATGAGAAAAACCTAAATAAATAAAAAACACCAAGGACGGAATGGAAATGAAACCTGGGTTCTCTGCATGACAGCCCTGTGTTCTACCACAAAGCTGCACCGGTGCTTCAAACTTCGTTGCAAATTGACCCTGTGCAGGTTTCGAGTTGGGTAAAAGATTGCATTTATGTGTAGCAAAGTGTTTTAGAAGAGTGAAGTAACAAACATACACCACACAGTGCAAATTGTGTAAAGGTTGGGTCCTTGAATGCTCCAACTCGTCACAAAAGCCTCAGGCTTAGTTCTTCACCATCGTCAACCACAGCTTCAACGAAGTGTACATAATGCCTTACAAGTGTGTACCGCATACCATGCTTTTCCGAAGGATGATGAATAATGGCATTGTGGACACTTGTGTATAGCACAAGAATCTTTGTAATTTATAGCATAGTAGAGACCATGTATATGTGCTTGCAGTAGTTGCTCCAAGAGTGCTTAAAAAAGGCTCTAGAAAGGCTGCTCTTCCAGCTTTCGATGTGACTATGCTGCGCTTTCCACGCAGGCTTAGCAGTTTTTCTGGAACAAGCAATATAACAACCTTGTGGGAAAAGTGTATCTAGTACAACAGTAAAGTTTTCTGTTAGCCTGGTCCCGACCAAATGCCAGCAGCTTATGAGGGAATGACACGAAGGGATGGACTGTGTTACAACCGGGGTTTGCACCCACCGGAGGTACGGGATGAAGTTGTCGAGGCAGGAGGAAGAGAGACTTGAAAAGGGTTTATTTACATTATATACAAGGTGAGCTCTCGTACATGACGAGCTCTTTCTTACATGGCGAGCTCTAGAATCTGGCGTTCCTCTACATGGCGCTCTCTCGAATGAGCCGGGTGGCTCATTATAAAGGGTATGTGCTCCCCAGATCCCTAGATCAGGGAACACGTTCAGATGGTACTGTCCAATCACATATCACACACAACTGGCGAAGGGGACGAGCATGCACGGCCCACGTGAACGTCCAATATTGAGCCATGATCACTGCAATGCAAGGTGGCGCCAGCGGGGCTCCTCCTCGCCGTGTGTGTGTTGCTGGTCAAGGGGTCTCAAGCTCATGACAGCATACATTAAAGGGTCCGCCAAACTACTCACTTAACTACTGAGGCGATTTGCGGCGGCCCCGGCGGTCTCTTTCAAGGAAGAAGCTGTACTCGTTGTCGTCTCCCGAACCACTTACGGCGTTGTGGTGACACGATGCCTCACCATCTGGCTAGGAGGGACAATAACTGGCAGGCATAGGCAGCCGGCCGGTCGGCTACTTGTTTGAAGATCCAAAGAGCGCCGCTCTCAGCTCGGGCGCCAGTCACAACTGCCAGTGTCTGAGCCACATGAAAACTGGACTGTGTGTGACTGTATGCATATTAACTAACCAAAGTGCAGGCTAAGGCTAGCTTAAGGATCTCACAAAAGCTTGATGGGCGCTTTAGGCATCAACAGCTGCTGAAAGACATATTGATCTCTTCATTATAAGAATGAATAGAACATGGCAGCTGATTGTTTATTGTACAATAATGTACAGGAGCTTGTTCAATGTCTACCAGTGCTTGGCATATCTAACACTATGTATCCACGTTTATGCCAGTGGCATTTCCCCATCCCGAGGCCTAACGCCGAATACCATGATTTCACCTTGTTGTGTGGTCTTAAAACGTGGTCTTAAAAAGTGAAGAGGATGCTGGTTTGAAAACTGAAGATCTTTATTTTCAGATATATTTTAATGAAATAAGGTGTGTATATATGTTTCTTTCTTCTGTTTCTGAAAATGTAATTAGTTTTATGGTATCTCAATAGTTCCCAGATTATGAGAAAATGAGTGAAGTGTAACTATGTCATTTTTTACGGGGTCATTAAAGCACTTTCCTTCAACATTCTTTAATGCAGTTTAAAATGCAGATGTAGCCAAAGATCTGCCATGTGGAGCTATGCTATTTGTATTAATGCTCCTTAATTCTGAAATGTATTTACCTTACAATATTCTTCACAGAATTTGATATGTTTAATTTAGCCATGAAGAAATAGCATAGCTTCATACTTTGGCTTCTTACGAGTTCAACGGTATATAATTTATGAAAATTTGCTCACAAACACTTTACGTGAAGTTCCGTAAGGCTGGTCAGGCTGGCAAAAAATGTGAAGCTGAGAAAATCGCATTTGAAGTTTTGACACTCAATGCAAAAAATTCTAAACGGAATTTTAACAATAAATTTTATTTAGATGTTTCCTGAATACTTCCCTGCTAAACAAAACAAATTGTCTTATTTCAACCTAGGAATCGTTTTTAAAAAAATTTGAAATGTGGAAAGCATGATCTGAGCCCCATTGTGGCAAGTGGTTGGGTGAGGGCAGTCCTTAAAAGACCATAATATAAGACTAAAGCCACTCGTTCTTCGTAAATTAATGAGAACTTGATTCTCATTAATTAATCACCTGCACGTTAAGAAGCATGCTGCCCAGTGCAATAGGTCGCTATGAGCTGAGCGTCGCTTACACTCTGCCACGTGCAGATTTGGCATCAGACAGTGCAGGGAAGTGCATCAGACAGTGCAGGGAAGTGCACACGAACTTTGCAGTTACATTTACGCAGAGCGGATCGTAAACGTATGGGCACCGACTCCACCTTACTCTTGTCCAGACGGTGCATTTCTAGCCGGTGCCTCCTCGTTCCAAGTCCGCTTCTACCACTTCCAAAAACTCATTGCCTGGATAGTTTGAGACGAGAATCTATGGACATGTCGATCACGACGAGAAACTACCAGTGCAAGACAGAAGCACGGTGCTTCGAGAAACACGTATGAGCCCAAAAGCTGACCCGCGTGGTGAATGCACAACAGAAAAAATAATTGGAATAAACAAATAAAAATAATGCGTCGGTCACGCCAGCTAATGGGAAACGCGGAACGGTGCTCTTTAAACGTGAGCCGGCCACATCCGTCAATGGGAAACTCGGTATGGCACTTTTTAAATGTGCGCCGTTAGAGCCAATCAGTAGCTCGGGAACGACCTTCAGAAAACCTGCGACGGCTGCCATTCTGCTTATAGTGAACTAAAACCAACACTCTAGTGGGGCAAACAGGAATGTTTGGGTGTGCCAATTGGCACAGAAAAATCCAGGTGGCGCCACTGCATCGTTCTCTAGTGGCACGGATGCTCTCAGGGCTGTTGCTGCCAGTGATATTCCGTGCAGGGAATGTTTTCTTTTTGGGAGGACTTTCAACCATTATTTTAGATGAAAGAGAAAAAGGAATCTTTGCAATATGTCAAGGAATTTCGCAAATAGGTAGATTGACCAACAAGGAGTGATTTATTGCAATCAGAGTGTGCCTTCGACTTCTGCAAATGGTTCTGGTGCATGCAGCATGCAAGCATAGCCTTTGAGATTAGTTTGATATTTATGTGAAGCCTCTTCTAGTTCACTGCTGGTGTGGACTCTAGCTCCACTATGCGATGTACATACAGCTGATGAGTTGAAAAAGTTATGCTTTTGTTGTGCAGGAGCACAGGTGCTAGTCTTGATTTCAGTTGTCAGAAACATGTCACAGGCATGCATTTATATAAGTTGTATGTTTACAGGGCCAAGCGCATTTTAAAACTTATGTGCTAGGAAATACATTGGGAATTTCGTAAGTATATGGAGAAAAAAAAAAAAAAAACTCAAAGTAGGGAATTTTTATGTCTCGAAATGGGAATTCTTCGACGTAGTACGGAACATCACTGGTTGACTGGTTACTGCATGCACTTTGTCCACATTTTATCGCATTAGTAGAAGACAGTGTTAGCTGTGCGTCCGCTGCAGTTATGCGGACGCAGCTAAAACTTGCAGGTTTGCAAGCTACATGCGCAGAGTTGCTGCAGAGGGCAACACACATTTAATATAGAGAATGTGCATGCAATTCGCTTCGACTAGCTTCAAGAGCACTTGCACAGGAGGACACGTGCGAGGTGATTTTCACTACAGCTTCTTGAAAAACCATGCAAAAATACACGAGTTAGTAAACCAAAGAGCCCTTCCGACTACACAGTGTCACGGCGATGAACACTACTAAATTAAGGTGCTCTGATGAGCTCTTTTTCCGATTTCAGGCGAGGAGGTACATCTGTAGTGGCGGAATCTGTGTGGCCTCTGTAGTGTAATAGGCTTTTCTTTATTATATTTCTTAGTGTTCAATGTAGTGGCTTCTACTACGGCGCAACTACCATGTTTCAAAAAGCCGGTGAGACACAAACTCGCATTGCCCCCCTCCACAATATTCGCAAAAGGTAGAAAAAAAAAACAAGAAAAAAAAGCAAAGCATTGGCGAAATGTGCAGTCGCAATCAATGCGGCGAGTAAAGGCATTCTGTTTCAGCCGCTGCGTCGCAAAGCTCCTCTGTTCGCACCACTAAAATGTTAGTTCTAATTAACTGTAATTCTGCTCGATTTCTTTGGCCACACAATTTTGAGATAGTGCAAATTACACACTAAGAAAACAGCTTCAAATCTAGCTCAAGGTGGCTGTGCTCAGCTCACTGCAATGCTCATAGCACACGCGAACTTCAAACAAATTTTGTTCTTTTGGGGGCATTTTACTGCTGCTGGGGTGCTTTGAACGCCGATTTTATCGCATTTCCCGACTCAATTCAGCGTTATCGTGATTCGGTTGGCCGCTCTGGTTTAGCTCAGAGTCGCCAGATGCAGAGGCAGCTCACAAGCGGAGCGTGAGAGGCAGCGTACTAATCTAATGCATCGGCGATCTCGGAGCAGCTTAAGAGCAGCATGCCTATAGCGCCACAGTGCAGCCAGCGCAGGAAGCAGCCGAGTAAACATTGCTGTGCCGGGTCAACAAAGGGAGCCGATCAGTTCAGTGAACATCTCTGACATGTCTGACCTTTTTT